GCGGTGTCCCGGGGGGGGGCAGATGGCGGTGGGTGGTGGGGTGGGCACCCAGGGTGGGCACCCAGGGGCCATGTGCCGTGTCACCTGCCCGGGCTGCTCCGAGGTGTCGAAGGCAGCGGGGGCCGCGTCCGTGGGAGGAGGAGCGGGGGGCACTGGGGGAGAGCAGGGCCCGAGGTGACCCCAGCCCACCCAGGTGGGTGACCATCCACCCCGATGATGCTGGTGAGCCACCCGCTCCCTCCGAAAAGCAGCCGCTGCCACAGCAGGGGACCCATCGCCCCGGGGTGCTCTGCCCGGGGACCCGGTGGTGCCCACGTTGGCACCTGGTGACTCTGCTGGAGGGTGGTTTGGGTCTGGGAAAAACGGGCGTTTTCCAGCGTGTGGCTGAGTGTGGGCAGGTGGGGCAGGATTTGTTTTCGTGTGCTGAGACAAAGGCTGATGGTTTCCAGCTGGGGTTGGGTCGGAGGCAGGTGGTTTCTGGGTGGGTTTGGGTCATTCCTAAGTCATCTCCTTGGGCAGTGCTGCCCACGGTGAATGGAGGGGAGGCGTGGAGCCCCCCTGCCTGTGTCAGCAGCCCCCGGGGGCAGTGGGGGCACGGTGCTTGATGCCCGATGCCCGTTGTGCTGCTCTCTCCCCAGTGATCGTGGAGTGCTGTGCACGGCTCTGCCCCAGTCTGGGCAGTGGGACGGGCTCCACGCTGGGCACTGCTGTCCCCTGTGCCCACCCGGGGACCGCGGCGGGGGAGCGCTGCCAGACAGGTACTGCTGGGGCTGGGACCATCCCGCTCACAGGCCCTCTCTCTGTGGCACCGTGTGTCGGCCGCATGCACCAGTGGGGCCCAGGGTGCCAAGTCGGTGGCCGTGGGGTGCTGGCTGTGGGTCAGCCCTGCTCAGCGTCCCCCTACTTCTGCCTCTGCCCCTAGATCCGGAGCGAGGAGCTGGCACGAGGCGGGCACCAATGCCAGAGGCCGCAGGGCAGCTGCAGACAGAGGCTGAGCTGCTGCCCTTCCCTGGGACCCCCATGAGGACTGCTGAGCCCCCCAGCCCCCAGGGGAGCCCCGCAGGCCCCCAGACAGGCGGGGAGGGGATGGGGCCGGTGGTGCAGGATGGAGCAGCCACCGAGCGCCCGGAGCCCCCGCTCTCTGCTGGCACCGCTGAGGAGGCAGCTGCAAGCAGCAATGGAGCAGCCACCGAGCGCCTGGAGACCCCACTCTCTGCTGGCACCGCTGAGGAGGCAGCTGCAGGCAGTGAGAGGCCATCTCCTGCCCACCAGGGGGTGACCAGTGTGGGGGCCCCAGCCCCCATGGAGCCAGACACAGCTCCTACCACCAGATACCCCTCTGGGACTGACTCTGTAGGAAATGCGATGGTGGAAGGTGCCACAACCACACAGGGGACCCCATCCTCCATAACGGTCCCTGGCTCTGCTGGGAGACAGCGGGGGTCCCCCAGCACCCTGCTCAGACACAGCTCCTACCACCAGATACCCCTCTGGGACTGACTCTGTAGGAAATGCGATGGTGGAAGGTGCCACAACCACACAGGGGACCCCATCCTCCATAACGGTCCCTGGCTCTGCTGGGAGACAGCGGGGGTCCCCCAGCACCCTGCTGGGATGGACCCCCATGGGGACAGCACTTGTTCAGAGCCAGAGGGGCTCACACAGCCCCCCATCCCTAGAGCTGTGGGCTGGGGACAGCCCAGGAGCCACCATCCCACTGGGTGATAGCAGCCCAGGGACACCGTTGAGCACCGCACTGGCCACGGACAGACCTATGGTGGGGACAATTGGGACATCACCCTTTTCAGGGGGGCTGCAAAGGCTGCTGACCCCCATGGGGACAGCACTTGTTCAGAGCCAGAGGGGCTCACACAGCCCCCCATCCCTAGAGCTGTGGGCTGGGGACAGCCCAGGAGCCACCATCCCACTGGGTGATAGCAGCCCAGGGACACCGTTGAGCACCGCACTGGCCACGGACAGGCCAGTGGTGGGGACAATTGGGACATCACCCTTTTCAGGGGGGCTGCAAAGGCTGCTGACCCCCATGGGGACACTGGGGGGGACTCCGGGGCTGGCAGGAAGAGGGGGTGCTGACTCCCACCCAAGGCCTGAAATGGACGTTGCCTGGCAGGGTCCTCGCTCTGCCCTTCACCCCTCTCCATCATCCCATGGGGTCTCTGTGGCCAGCACAGCCCAGCCAGCCGTGGGGACAGGCCCACCCTTGCTGCCTGCTGCAGACAAGGGATCGAGTCTGCCTGTCCCCACCACCACAGCTGGCACCCCCGGGGTGACATCCCCTGGCCCAGGGGGGGCCCTGGATCTGACCACCCAGATCTTAGGGCCACCTGACAAGGAGGGGCCCCCTGAGCACAGCCACGTCCCCCTGGACCAGACTTGGCACCCACCAGCTGTGCCAGGGCAGCCCCCCACCTCCATGGCCCCAGGCAGCTCCACCGTGGTGCAAAGCAGGGTGCCAGGGTCCCCTCGTGTCCCCCTCTCCTCGCAGCCTGCCCCAACCAGTGGCTCTGCAGTGCCCACGTTGCCAACATCTCAGCCCTCCCTGGGGACCAGGTGGGGGATCCTGGGGCTTGGCCCCACTGCGGGCACCCTCCTGGGAAGCCCATCGCCAAGGGTCTGGCTGCCCCACACTGGTTCAGGGAGGGATCCTACTGAGAACCCCCAAATCCTAGGGAGGGGGGTGGGCGATGCAGGGTCCTGGGCAACAACTGCCCAGCCAAACTGGCAGCGGGGCAGCCTGGCCCCCCCCTTAGCCTCCGGGCCCCCTCAGCAGTCAGCTCTGTCCCAGCCTGACTCTTCCCTGGAGCCAACCACCGCTATTGGTGTCACCGACACCACTGTCACCACCGCCGCCACCATCACAGCTGCCACCACCAGCCCAGCACTGCTCGGGGACATGGGGACCATCGCACCAGAGCCTGGTGCTGCTGTATTGCAGAGTGATGTGGCAGGGCTGACGCAGGTGCCCCAAAATCATCTGCCCACCGTGATGCCGGGGCCCTCTGAGAAGGCCACTGATCCCCCTGGGACACTGGGCCATCGTGGGGGCCCTGGGTCCCCTCCAGCTGCCACTGACACAGACCTGGTCCAGCCGTCGAGCAGCCCCAGAGGGTGGCCAGATGCTGACATCCCCCAAGTGACGCCGGCCCCAGCAGGCAAAGCCCCCCGGGTGTTCATTGTGGAGGATCAGCCACCCCTCCTGAGAGGTGGGTCTGGGGGTTTGGGACCCTCTGCTGGGGCCCAGCGGGAAGAGGAGAGGCCGTAGGAGCCATCAGCATGGCGGGGGATCAGTGGTGGGTGGGTAGTGGGTAGTGCTGGTTCTGTATCATGCTGATGCCCATCTCCTCCCACAGCATCCCTCCTCCGCATCCCCTGCGAGCTGGTGCTGGACATGGGATTCATCCCTGCCCTGCTGGACCCGGGCTCCCGTGAGCACCAGGGGCTGCTGCACAGCTTCAACCGGACGGTGAGTGTGGGACGGGGCCATCTGGGGGGGGCCTGGGACGGGGGCGGGGGGCACCTTGCATCACACTCAGCTTCCTCCCTCCACAGGTCACCCCCCTCTTCATGTCGGTGCCCGGGTTCCTGCGGCTGGAGGTGACGGGCATCAGGTAGGTGCTTGGGCAGCCCCGCAGCGTGGGATGCTCCCTGGCTGGGGGGTGACACACAAAGGGAGTGTCAGAGGCTGCCGGGGTGCAGGACCGGCCCTGGGGGTCCCAGCCACCCCTGGGCTGGTCGTGGGGTGTCCCTGCAGGAAGGGCAGCGTGGTGCTGGAGTATGACGCGCTGTTTGCTGCGGAGCGGGTACCGGCACCGGGGCTGGGGGAGCTGCTCCACGCCGCGTTGGGCTCTGGCGGTGCCCGGGAGGGGCTGGCGGTGGGCTCTGCCCCCGTCCTGCGCAACGTGGCTCTGGGTGAGTGTGGGGACGTGCGGGTGGGGTGGGGGGGTTGTGTGTGTGCCATCATCACCCCCTCCCAGGGGCTGGTGCCCGGCCAGGGATGGCTCGGTGGGGAGTGTGTGTTGGGGGTTGGCACAGCTGGACCCCCCCTTCTCTGCAGAGTGGCCGCTGGACCCCTGTGCCGTGCTCTTCGCCTGCCGGGCCGGCTTCGCCTGCGTGTCCGGGGTGGATGGGAATGCCACCTGCACCTCCCTCTGCCACCGCGACTACTGCAAGAACCACGGCATCTGCACCCACCCCCGCGACCACGGGCCCCTCTGCCAGTGAGTGCCCCCAACACCGGGGTGGTGGCTGGTGTCCCCCTTCTCTGGTGGATGATGTCCCCCCATCCTCCAGTGGATGATCATCATCTCCAGTGGATGATGATGTGTCCCCCCCCATTCCCTCCTTGTCACAGGTGCCCCGTTGGCAGTGATTTCTGGTTCATGGGGCTGCGCTGCGACTACCGTGTGACACAGCAGAGCCTGCTGGGGGTGGCAGCGGGGGTCCTGCTCAGCATCCTCCTCCTCACCGCCGTGGTCACCGCCGTGGCCATCCGCCGGTTCAAGGCGCTGCTGCTGGAGGCCAGGGCTGACCA